GCGGAGCGCGACGCTCGGGCTCATCGAGCCTAGGATTTACATCCCTCGATGCCGCGGAAAACGGTCCGAGATGGCACCGCGTGCGGAAGACGAAGTTGGGCTCTGCCCGTGAGCGTTGTCGGAACCAGCGATACCTGGAGACATCGGTGTCATTGACACAGAGTTCATTGAGCATGGAAGTCGTTTCGTTCCAACGCAGTGTCTAACGGACACGCAAGCCTCGTTGAGGCAATAATCGATTGGAATTGTAAATGTTCTCAATCTTAATAGGGGAGGGTGTAGCGGGGTTACACATACCCTGGTGAAAGGGGTGTGTGTCACACCAGATGGGCATAGTTTGGCCACATCCAAACAAGAATAACGGTACGGGGCTGGATAGTCAGTAGTTATACATGTATTTAGATTTTATTTAGGAAAATCTATGCATTTAAAATGAGGCGGCTTGCCGCAGATAACATTAAATAAAGTCAGTTTTTGGATTTAAACGTAAGAGTTAATTAGCCTTGGGTTAAAGTTGTAATTACTCTTGGAGTAAGCGGATTGCGATCCGATAAACTCGTACTTGTTCGATGTTTAGAACGCAAGGTCGGTGACCTAACTTATGCTTCCTCTAAGCGCAAAGCTACGGCAGCCCCGCTGCACCTTTTGCTAGCACAGACTAATATATGCATTTTTTACTATCTCTTTTTATGCGCGGTTAGCACTATTTCATCATCTTCATATATACCAATACTTCAATATCCAAAGTAACGCAATTGTTGCATCTGTTGTCTCAGGGATATGTACACAAGACTTACCCCGTTACAATCGGCAATATTTGCCATGCGCTAAAAGTTCTCGCAAAAAATAAATGAGAAGAAAAGGTGAACTTAAATTATTGGCTTGTGATAAGTCGTATTCTTTAGATAGTCTAGGGTACAATGTCCATGTATCTTTAGTAATCTATGTGAAAATTTAGAGTTGGGCAAACTTTTGATACGGAGCATATGACGATGTCCGTTAAGACAAACGCATTGCTCTAAAATATTTTTTTGACATTTTTAATGCTGTAAAAATTAATATTGTTTGAGCATTGTCGATGATTCATTCTCCTTCATAGAAAATCAAACAAAGTCTTGTGCTATTGTAATTTTTTTTTATTGCATATGAAATTGACATCAAGAGCTCATTCGGCAGTTTGGCAATGCTGGATTTGCTGTCACCTGTGCGCGGCTACATCGCACAGAATCTGCAATTCTACCTGAGCAAATACATCGAGGACATCCAGCTTGAAGGTTTAGGGCTCTTTGGTGGTGACCTTGTTCTCAATGACTTGGAAATCAAGCGCCACGTACTGCGCGAGAGTCTCGAGATTCCATCAAGCTTCGATTTCTCGCGTGGATTTATCCGTGAATTACGTATCCACATCCCATGGACCCAGTTACTATCACAGTCAATCGAAGTGAAACTTTATACCATTGAGCTGATCCTCACGGCGAGGAGCAGTACAGCCGGTGCCACATTAGGAGACGCAGTAACTGATAAAGCGACTGAGATTGACCAGCCAAAGTCCGGTTGGATTCACGATACACTGCAAAAAATTCTGTCTAATGTCAGTTTGCAGGTTAATAACCTTGTCCTTAAGTATGAGTACGACGACATTGTGTTCTCTATTGCGCTTGGGGTAAGTTTTTTATGATGCAGCATGACAGTCAGTACGATTTTCACTATGTATTTTGCTGATGCGTATGATAGACCCTTGACTTCTACTCAGCCAGTGAAAATGATGGCTGGAATCGTAGCTTCGAAGAGCTAAAGGGAAGCAGGCCTGTCATTTGCAAAAGAATTGATGCCAAAGACGTGACAATTTTCCTAGACAGATACATAAACGACGAAGGTACAAATCAATGCACCAGACAATATCCATTGCGACGGATGGTAGCTGGATACGAGGTTCCGGTATTGAGTCGAGCTTCGGCATCAGTCCGAGCTAAAGTACAGCTACCACACAATGCTGCGGAGACAGGGAAAAGGGATCCGACTATCAGTATATCTGCTTCCTTCAATCAGCATCATCCTTCAGCGAGTGATTCCCGTGACGCAAGAGATATTTTTGATGTGGATGGTTTGTTAATATACAATCCATCAGTACTATGCGATCCTTTCTACTATTACTTGTGCAATCGCTCAAGCGTGATCCCGATATATGAGGTAGACTTGTTTGTCGTCGAATTACTCTTCTCGGCCAGTGACAGACAACTAGAGATGCTAAATCAGCTTATACAAAGCGCTAACCACAGGTTCGATCAAGCTCACAAGCCAGTAATTTCAGCGAAATGTGACGCGTACCCACCAGGCAACACGAACAAAGTCTTGGATGTTCATGATGCAAGATCTGAGTTTTCCCAGTTAATTCAGGCAGATGATCAGGTGGGTATTGTACCTAAAAACAAAGAATCATGGTTTGGATGGGCAATAAATGCTCTGGGAAGCGTAGAAAATGGGCAAGAGGACGCGTTGGAGTCTGAGCTACTTGCCGAAACGAGAGAAGCTTTGCTCGAACGCCAGCCGTCGTTAGAAAATGAGAATGATGGAGGTTTATTTGCAGCCTGCGGTTCAGGTACAAGAACGTCATGTGTGCGAATGTGCGTTGGCTCAGTCTCGTTAACGTTGCGAAAACATGCAAAAGAAGGGGAAACGGAGTATCAAGATGCTGCAGGCGTGGAAAGTAGAGAAGAATTGGTACCAGTTGCAAATCTTGGCATGGTGAAAATTTCTAGTCATCCCAAGAGAAAAAAGGTAGCTCGACCAGCTTTGCCAGTTCTCCATTTATCTCTTAGTTTTGTGACGATAGAAATGCTTCTAGCACGAGGTCAGGAACAAAGTGGAACAGATCTGGTGTTTGAAATTGAAAAGGTTAGGGTTTCATCTGCTTTAGACGACACTGATGGAAAGGATATGAACGGAGAAATGCTGATGACATGGGGTCTTGTTGATGCAACATCCTTGTGTGATTGCGTCTCTCATCCCTATTTTATCAGCACATTTTTTAAGAAAGAAATAGCGCGCTTAAATCAGCTTGATAGGCGACGCTTTGACATTGTTAAGGTAGCACCGGGTATTGACATTCCCGTCTGGATGACGTTAAGAGATGGAAGAATAAACTCAGAAGAGAGCTCTAGCTCACCATGCAAATGCTCTTCCACTTGGAATGGGGAAAGTGTTCGTTGCATATCAACTTCCGCAATATTTAGCATTTGCCAGGATGCAATTAATAAAATTGGAATTAAAGAGCGTGTGCTGGATGACGGAATTCTATTTAACGCCGTGTCGGCAGCTTGGACTTCAAGTGAGTTTCCTAGTATAGCGACAGAAGGGATGACACGAGCCTTGACTGCAGCCGCAAGTGAGTATCGAGCGCATCGAAAGTCAGACCTTCCAGCATTGGACAATTTGGTGCAGTTGCTCTTACCACAACTATTCGCTCTATGCTGTCGTTTTTCAGGGCATTCTTGCCCATCAGCTATACTCCATCCGGCATCTAACTATATTAGCATTCGGCATCGAAGTGATCATTCTGCTCTACGTATGCGCTCAGCATCCACGTCTAAAATCTTGGAGCATGATGCACCGTCACCTGAAAATCGTATCGAAGATAAAGCAGTCACCAAAATTTTGGATGTGTCGATTGGTGCTGCACATGCTGTCCTGGAGCCTCTTAAGTGTTTAGCCACACTGGAAGTATTATCAATTTTCTTGCACAAAAACGAAGTGGATGTTTCTAGGTCAGCGACAAGGCCTGTTGAAACGTCAATGTCATCTAGAATGAATGAGGCTTTGACGAAGAAGATGGCGCCTGAATTGAAGACCAAAATGTTAAGTGATATCGCGTTAATTACGGGGAGCAGGGTAAGCGTTCACATTCCTAATCCACGTCCAAATGCAGGGAATAGCTCGAACCATTGTAGTGGCTTGAATGTAATTGGAAGTGACTTCATGTGGCAACGAAATTATTTTCCGGGAGATCACAGAAAGCGTTTACAGCTCGGTGCTGTGACCGTACAGTTGGGTGACGCTCAGAGCGAGTTTACGCATCTCCCCCTGGTAGAAGCGCTCGGATTTGAACTGGAAATCACAGAAAGCTTTGCTGATGGAGATAGCAACGATGAATTATTCGCAAGTTTGGTCAAAGCGAAAATCGACCTTACCTCATTTTCATTACACAATTTCGCGACTGTAATATCTGATTTCGTACGTCCCCTTGGATTTGATATTGCCTGGGTGCCAACAATTTTAGCGTCAAAGCAATTCCAAGAGTATTATCAAATCGAGGCTTGCTTGACTAATTTTTCGCAGAGTGTTGTAGATCGACCTAGGGTAGTTACAGCTCAGCGCCAATCACTTCGCGGAAGAATTGCATCACTCACCATAACTTCAAGAAAAAAGCCAACAAGTGAAATGACTGTAATTTTTCAAGGCGGCGCAGCTCCGAAGATGCTATCAAAAACGGGAATTAGTATTCCTCTTTTCAAGTTTGACATGCTGTACGAAAAATCGGCTGGAAAGCTAGATGGTGTACCGCTTTTGAGCTTGCTCAAAACATTTACTCGAAAACCCGACTTCGTTTCCACAGTATGTGCACATTGCCGACTAGGTGTCTGTGCACACTTGGCCTACGTTTATCTGGATGCTCAAGGTGGAACACAGCTTATAGGTGCAGTCTTACATTGGATAAAAGATTTCTCAGCAGCCTTGGTGGGCAACACAGATTTGAAACCGGAAACTCGACATGTCAAAGATGACACACTGGACGGCAATACGGCGAGCAGCATATCAACAGGATGGAGCTTTATCATAGATTGGGAAGCTGGCGGCTCTGATGTACGTGTGAACGAGGCACTCCAATTAAGACTTTCTCAAGTATCGCTTCTATCTATTGAGAAAGAGGCAGATTCACTGAATCCTGTTAAGCCTGGAGGTATACTGAATCTCAAATTTACTGCTAAAGGAGCCACTCTATTTGCATCAGACAGTGGATGCCTTAAGGACATTCAAAATCCTATAATTCTGAGCATAGAAAATATTCGTACGACAGTCAAGTTTTCACACGAATTTATTGACTACCAGCATGATTATGCATTTGAAGTTATGTTCCACGCGGCATGTGTTCAAGCATCACTAAGTCGCTTAAAGGTACATAATTTTGCTTTGACAGATTTTTTGTGTTTATGTTTGACTTCTTGTATTCCTTTTGTTTCAAAGCTTTTATATATTTTAAAAATTCCAAACATTATGTTTGCCTTACTACGTGAAGTGGCGACCCATGATGCCTCTCATCCACCCAAACTAAACGAATACGAGCGCGATAATGACGCTATTATGCGAGTTCGGTGGTTTTATACGCTTCGTGCTCAGCTAGACCATTTCGACGTCTCATGCGCGGCTGACATCGATCATCGCTCAAATCACAAAAAAGAGCGGATCCGAGCAGTCATAAATGGCAATGTTTCTAACATCAATGTAGCTGCTCGGATAAGCAATCATCACCCTATCAAAAAGCACCTCTATTTACCCACACGAGGAAAGTTTACAGATATTCAAGTTTCCGTTGGCAAAATTCAAGTGATCGAGAGGCTTTTTCACGCGTGGAAGAATAGTTGCATCCCACTAGGTAACTTCTCACGTTTGCCGGCTAATGCATTTTTGGGTATATTGGTATGCCTGAACGTGCGTGATTTAAAAAGTTTATCAGAGACCTTGCACGCTATTGATACCAACATGCATTCTAATGAAGAATTACTACCGCCTGCTATGTTGTCGTGGCATTTGGCAAGCAGCATTGCCAAATCTATTCAAGCGATAAAGGCTAAGTGGCATAAAAATCAAACCGACAGAACGCACTTTTTCGCTGAAATTCCCCTGATTGTTGCCTACAACGAATCTGCGCTGAAAAACGATCCACTATCGTTTCCAATGTTTTCAGGATTTTATCGCAATTACAGTGAAGCCGGCCTACCGCTCCAGGTTGTCGCAGGATCTATGGAGAGTTTGGATCTTGTCATGACGACGTCAAGCTTTGACTGTCTCGCCTCAGTAGTGAATGTGCGCGGCAAAAAAGTATCAGCCGTCGACAACATTGAATTTCCAACAGTGAAGACTCAGACTACACACAATCTGGAAGTATCATTGGCAAACATTGAAATTTCTCTTTTGTTGGGTCAAGTTCGTTTAATTTCGCCAGACGAAAATCTAATAAAATTTGTCCAATGTAAACAACAGGTTGATACACAAAATGTTGTTGTGGTTCTGGAATCGATGTCGATCGTCTCAGCCGTGCATAATGAGATTTCGTTGGATGGATTGGGATATCCCCTTTTCAACTCTAGAATCCTTCCAAGGCGACTTACTGTTCATGCACAACGATTTGGCCAGTCGCAGCTTCGGATAGAGTGTAAAACTGGTAAAATTTATGGATTTGTTGCCGATCTAAGCTTCAGTTCCGGATTGGAGCCTCCACCTGAATGGAAGTTCAGTCCCAGATTGAACGAGGTAGCTACTTTCTCGAACATTTTTGGGCATGTTGGGCCGTTCGAAGAGTATTTTAGTACTTTGGCGGGACACTCAGCACATTTTACTAGTGCAGAGAGATTCTGGTCGCCACTAAATATCACATGCAGTGCGGAAGAGGAATTTTCAACAAAAAATGAAGGTAATGGAAACGAAGCAAAAATCGCTATTAGCATCGCAATAACCAAGTTGCATCTCCAGCTGAACAAGCATCTGTTTGACATTTTGTATTCGCGCATCGCAACGTTATACCGAGGGATACAGCATCTTAAGCGATCTATCGCATTTTCGTCACCAGTAAAGCTTACGCCTATTCATTCAGAAAGGTTATGCGAATCGTCTTTAGAATTCACGAGTACGAAGGAGCGAGAATTCACATTTTCGAGCGACGGAATCGAGATTGATGTGATAGAGATGGACAATTCTTCACATTTTCGTGTTGGCTCAATCCTCCTGTTACACAATACTCTGAGTCTTTCGGGCAGTGCGTCTATAAAAACTTTAGTAGTCGGACACCGTATCTTTGGAAATGAGACCGATACGGTTGCAATCGAAGAAGTAGTCTTTGGAGCAAAGGCGGAGCCAAGTTTATGGCAACGAGCAGTCGAAAACTATCCAGAAAAGCTTGTTGCTGCTAAGTGGAATTACGCAGATCGATCACAGCGAACAATTTTCGTGGACGTCCAAGCCTGTCAGCTTCACGTATCGCACCATTTTATCCAAGCATTGGCTCAATTCCTTTGTACAAATGCGAACATACCAAGTTTGGAGCAAAAAGTCAACGAATGCTGTGTCCAAGCTGTGGAGCGCAAGCCTTTCGTGATACGACAGAGATGGAATGTTAAACTTCTTGTAGCCCCAAGTGTCATGTCTTACTGGAGACAGCAATCTATTGATGGGAGAAAGTCAGGTGTTTGGATGACGTCCGGGCAGCTTTTCGCGAGCATAGAGATTGGAAGTGATGAAGCGACTCAGCAATCTTTCTCTTCGTGTAGCACTGATGTCAACGAGATAAATCGTTTTATTGTTGCCCCCTCGCTAAAAATGATGATGAATCTAGACAAATTCGGCCTCAACATTTCCGATGATCTTCCTCCATTGATTGTTATTTTTCAAAAAAACTCTTCGAGCCCGATAACAAATCCGACATCTAGCACTTGGCCGCAATTTGTGAAGTACATAAGCATTGTGTCGGAAGCCCAACGCTTTTTGTATGACTGCAGCATTCGGGTCACAGGAGACGAGCATCAAGTGTTGGAGCAAATTGCAACTGCAAATCATATCTTTTGGCTTTACACTGGAGTTTCTAAGACTAATATACAAGCTGAGGTAACCGCGTTGTGCATACAGATCTCGTCTTATTCTTTGGATGCGATACGATCACTCTTGTCTGCATCTGAAAACAAAGGCTCTGACGTTCCGACAAAAAAATTATTTGACCAAAAGAGCGTGAAGGAGGATGCCATGTGCAGAAAAAGCTTTGACCCTCCAGATTGCCGAGAAATTTCAGCGGATGATTTTAAATATCTAAAGCGAATGGCGGAAAGTCGGCGACCTCTTCCTGGTGAGCTTGTATTTACGGAGGCTCTATCAATTGAAACGCACAGCATCGTTCCGGATGACCCACCTTCAGTCATGGCTCACATTCAAATCGAGCCAAATAAATTCGACATCGCAGAAGCTGACGTCGTGGCTTACCTCGAAAACTGCAACAAGCTTTGGAAGACTGATTATAATGCCGGTGAAGAGCAGTCTTCTTCTCCTGGCCATAGTAACAGGACGCATTGCTGGATGGGAATGCGCTGGTGCTACCACATTCCACGTAAAATTTGTAAAATTGTGGCAGACCCCGTGCCTATCCTTCCCAGTGGACTTCCAAGTGCCTGGCCTTCATGGAACTGGAAACATGGCCAAAATGATAGTACAAGTCGATTTTGTGATATTTTATGCCAGTTGAGATGCTGGGACCACCAAAAATCCATTTATATTGTTGTTGGTGAGTTCTGCGTACCATGGGAACAAATTCTACCGAGCGTGAGCCCTGACAATTCGAACGATGCCAACGAGCTGGGAAGTTTTGGGGATTTGATGAACCATTGGTTTGACGATAGCGTGGAAGAGATACTTCTTCAAACGAAGCTGCTCGAGTTTGGTGCACGAACAAGAACATATTTGTTTGATAGCGACATACCATCGGACAACTGGGAGATCAGGTGGAGAAGTCCTCTACAAAGCGAACATGATCCTGAGGTGTGTATGACCTTGGAGCGAATGATTTTGAAAATTTTGTTCTGACGCTTTTTGTGTTTTATTAGAATAAGCAAATGCGCCTTTTGGTAAACGCATTGCTTGCTTCATCATTGCAGATACATTCTATGCTAATTTGGGACGCGTATCAGCGCGTTGAATCATATATTACGTTTCCACAAACCTCGATGTCCATAAGCCTAGTGGGCCCCGAAAAGAGTTCTCACGATATCATTACCGCAGAATTCAACGATACCAATATTGCTTGCTTGGTTTTTGGAAGCACGTACATGAAGACAATGACAATTCGAGTATCTTCTGGATTACAGGTGTACCTCAATAACGTGGTTCAACTATTAACTGTTTCAGTTATTTCACGGACCAGTATCGACATCCTGGTGGAGATGTCTAACAAAGGATTAAAGATTTCAACATTAGTTGGTCCCATCTCGCTTTACCTGAACCAAACGTCGATACTTGTACTATGTGCGATCCCGAGGCTCCTGCATGCAGAAACTCAACCGATTCAAACTTTGACAGCAAACCCAAACGAAAAATTATCAAGCATGCGCATAAATATCGTAAATTACACAGGTGTGGATATTTGGTATCGGCAAAATGAGACTTCAGAGTGTTTGCATCTCCCTGCAGAAGCTAGTGCGGCATATAGCTGGCTCTCGCTGGCGAGTAGTTCGTATTATCAGCTTTGCTTTGCGGTGGACGATCCGATACAGAAGCGTGGTGAAGTGTATGCCGGGGGGAAAAAGGATGTGGAGAAACTTTTATCAGAGAAAGATGATTTCTTCTGGTGTGATCCTTGTAGAATCAAGGAAAATTGTGTCACTGGCCGATATTTTAGTGGTCGCGGATTTGTTTGGGTATGCGTGGAGCTAAGCGGATTGCAAACGAAGGTTTCGCTTTACTCATCATTGATTGTTTGTAACTACTGTAATTTTCCTGTGCGTGTCAAAGTGAGTCAGACAGCAATCTATAATTGCACAAAGTCTGAATACCCATACAAAAGAGGTTTTGCAATACGCAAGCATGCCGCCCATAACCATCCACATTGTGTTTCGTTGGATGGTTCAGTGTGCACTCTTTTGACGTCACAAGTTGATGGTAGCATAGCTCGTATCATGGTCGAGTCCGTATCAACCATAAGTTTTGCAGTCAATGGTGGCTCTTGGTGCGATATGGAAACACAGCAAACAATACCTAGCGAGTTTGATCATGTCAAGGCTGATGACCTTGAAGCGAAAGGGCATTTTCAGTTCAAATCTTTCAATTCAGAAAGCTTAGATGAGCCTATTCAGTATGTCTGGGTGAAGGTTGCTCGCGCAAAGTGTAGGACTGTGCTTCCCATAGACTTTGACCACTTACAGCCCCAAATAGCTGGACGGTATACGTGGGTTGAGGTGTCAATCTACCCTGCAATCATCGTACAAAATATTATTGATGCTCCAGCAATACTCAGCTTCTCACAAAAGGTACGCATACTATCGTATTTACTATATCAGCAAGTAATTGCTAATTGCTGTGGGGTACACTTTTCATTAGAACACATCCTTTAGACTTGAATTATTTCCAGCTTGTGAGAAATGTATCTCTACAATAAACCCCTTTGAGCCAGTCAAGATTTTACTGCAATATGGCCAGGATTTAAGCAAGGCAAACACATATTCGAAACTGCTGGAATTAAACATGCAATTCACTTCTGCAGGCAAATCAAAGGAGCAAATTTTTGATTTTGAGGACTGCAGAGTGGTTGTTAGCTATTGCGATGATCGCAAGCCGATGGTTCGAATAAGATTAGAACGCGTTCTTAGCATTGCCAATAAAACACCGAGTGATTTGATGATTTGGCTTGCCACGTCATTCGAAGATCAAAACAGAACTTTACATAAAGTCGAATCTTGCGGTGAACGGTCAATTGGATTCACAATGACCAGTGACTGCTTGATCATTGCAATTGCGTCGAGTGCAACAACCGCGGGCCCACGCAGTGGGTCAAATCAGATGAGTTGGTCCTCAGAAATCTCGCTGGATGGTAAAGGTGACACAAAGCCGATTGTATTGCCTGCGATGCAGGCGGGATCAAGCAATCTTGCAAGTGCTTTTTGTGTTGAGTTGTTGAACTCTGAGGGATATCTTAAATTGACTATTCTGCCGCTAGTTGTAGTGATCAACGCGACGGTAAGAAGCGTATAAGACATAGGGGTATTTCTCAATTCATGAAAGCTAACGTTGCTCGATAGAAACGCGATATTGTTTGTGTTCCCACAGATGGGCGAGGAAACGCCCTTGGTGGAAATGATGAAACATCGGTAGGTGTTTATGGTTGCAATACAGACACGCTATTTGGTCTAAAACAAAATTTTTCGTCTAATTTGCTCGGCAGTTGGTATCAGGTGACAATGCTGGGTGGTGCGTTCCGGTTTGCTTACACAGAGAAGCAAAGAAACGAAGTATTACGGCTGATGTGTCGTCCTGGTTAAGCTCAAAACTATCGAGGCGTACAAGTGATGTCGAGCCAATCGTTGATAAGCAGCATTTGATGGCAAGACTATCGTGTTCTTTCCGAGTACGTTTGGTTGAAGACGAGTACGAGTGGACAGAAGAAATAACAGTGCTGCTTCCAAATTTACATGTTGGAGTAAATTCGGATGGCAGGCTGATACATTTCGAGTCATTCACACCGCTAGCTGATACGTTAAAAGATTTGTATCCATCTCCTTCGACGACGACGTACAGGAGACGATTGCTAGTCCGTCATTGTAGCTTCAAACATAAAATGCTCACCTACACTACGACGCAGAGTGGAAAGTCTATTCATGTTATGTTCTTCGTGGATCACCAGCCTCCTGTGATCATTCACAACCATTGGCAAAAAGTATTGGCTTTTCGCAACGTGTCCGTCGCATCGGATCCAGAGGGCGTCGGTGCAAATTTCTGCCTGGAATACGATTGGTCTCTGCAGGTATCAGTGCGCGCTCCATATATTTGAAGCTAATTCTGACCAGTATGATGCCCATGTATGTATTTATCAGGTGCCAACAAAAAACTGTACGCAGGCCATCATTGACGATAAGCTTGACGCAGAATGTAAGCTGCTGGCTAACTGGTTAAAGACCTCATCCCAATCATTTGGGAATACAGACACAACTGACTTAAATCCGAATGAGCATACGCGTTTTCAGATCGGATCACCACAATATGGTTGGTCGAATGTTCTTTGGCAAACTGGAGGCATCCAGTTCGCATCTTTTAATAATGACGAGGATTGCGGGACGATAACGAATCGACTTACTTTCTTAGTCATGAACTTTTATCGAGCAGGATCGTGGCTTATATCTATCACTTGTGTTGAGGATCCGACAGGTGATGGTCTGACGAAGTCCCTTCCATCGTTAGTACAGCCTTCCGCGGCAGATTCATGGAGAGCAAGACAGATCACTTCAAGTATTTTTAAGATTGGTGTCATTGTGGACGAAATTTCGCTTCATCTTTGCGATGAGCACGATCCTAAACGGGATGCGCGTGGACTTTTCCTTTATCCAGAGATTTTACGGACAACATGCAGTGCTGTGTCAATCGTATTTGCAACTGCTCCAGATCCGCCAGAAACTCTTCGTCACAATACCCGCTTGGGTTATATGTCGCACATTAGATCGTACATGACTCTATTCGCTGCAATTGAACGTATCGAAGTGGGACATTTCTTACAAGCGTGCAACTTTCCCGTAATTTTTTGGTTTTATGAACCTGAGGCGAAGAGGCCTTTGCTGCAATCTGATAAAGTAAAACAACATCAAAGCCTGGAGTGCCTGATAAACAAATTGCTCGACAAGCGGCTACCAGAAGCAGAGAATCCGTGTTTGACTATCAGAATCATCTACGCGGATACAATAAACCCGACAAAACTTCTACCATACTTTAACTGTATCGAAGTTAAGGTATCCCCGGCCTTTCTTCAGGTATGATACAAATTCTGCTAAGATGATTGTACTACTCTAAATGGATAGTCTTTTGGATTTGTTGTAGGTGGAAGACAAACTTTTGATGTGCTTAATTGCGTTTGTTCAACCAATTTGTGCGGCATTGGAAGGGTATGCTGTATGCCAAGCCATACGCGACATTGAAAGCCAGACAATCGCTACAAGAGATGAAAATACCTGGAGCTCATATGCGTATGAAACGATCATTACAAAGCAGCGCAAAGTATATATCGAGTATCTAGGAATTAGCGACCTTCAAGTGACGATTACAGCACGCGTCTCAGTTCCAGTACTTAACAGTTTTGATGGCACGCCTTTACACTTTGGGTATAAGGAGATGCGCGAGGTGTTCACTTTTCCTGACCAATTGTACAAAGATTTGGCAGCAGATTATGTGGCTGATACAATTGTCCGCTCTCCGCTGCTTTTGATGTCATTGAATATTTTCGGCAACCCGGCGTAAGTACACACATTACCTTATTCTGAATGTTGAGAATGTGGCCAACAAAAGATTGTTTTCGTTGCAGCGGATTCATTCGAAGCTTTGGTCAAGGTGTTCGAGATCTGATTGAGATTCCTTTGGCTGCTTCCAGAAATGGTTACAGTCCTTGGATACTCACTAAGGGCTTGTTAGACGGTATCGCCTCGTTTTTGGGCCATACGACTGCAGCAACGCTCTCATCTGTGTCTGGATTCTCATACTCCATATCACGCACAGTGGATCACATAACGCTACCTTCAGACCAGCTCCGCAAACGTCATTACAAGCGTCCAACTAAGTTAACATCAGCTCTTGCTGATGGTTTAGGGTCGTTAGGATCAAGTGTTGTTGGTGCAGCAGCTGGAGTTGTCACTACACCTATGGCCGTATATAGAGACAGTCGAATGCGAGGGGTTACACCCGGATTTGGAAACGTGGTGGGAAGTGTAGGCATGGGGTTGGTGGGCATCGTTGCTCGACCGATGGGTGGCGTTGCGTCACTGGTGTCGATGGCATCAGATGGACTACTAGTTAAATTAGAAGGAAGCCGCATACCATTCGACGAGTCGACCTCGCGCTTCGATGGAAGACCCAACGAACTCCTGCGCTACAAGCTGAAAGTGCTTTTCGATGCAACCGGAGGTTATTTGGTATTTGCGCACGGTCTCTGGATTAACCCAGAAGGTAATACACTCATCATACCAGATCAAGGTCTTATTTATTTCTCGAGAGAGCAGTTGGGAATGTTGGAAAACGAACCATTATGTGGCCTTTTACTACCACGTGATGCTAATCGCCAGCTTGTTGAAATGACAGTTGTATGCTCAAATGAGTGCATTTATGTCGTGGGAATGACCACGGCGCAAAACCAAGCCGTTTTGGCACGAACTTCACTGAAATCGATCGAGGCAGTTGAAGAAAGTTTAAAAGAGCCAACCGTTTTTGACCTGGGCATCAAAACGTCAGAGGGTGCAGCAGAATGGCTGCGCTTTCGACTGCCGCCACCGCAAAGGCGGCATTTAAGCCACCAGCTTCGACTCTGGCTAGCTGAACCGTCGATCAAAAATCCATAAGTAATTAACATGATAGTAAAGTGTGTGATTTCTACTTTGTGAGTGCAGCCTCCCATAACGTGCATATGCTTGGAAATTGTACGGAAACGCGAAATAAAACGGGAAGTAAGTATTGAATGAAGATCGTAGCCATATAAATCAACTTGCTACGTCCACCTTTGGATCACAGATGGAAGCCATCGGATTGAACAGCCAGTCAGTAAATGGTGGAAGCAAATTTGTGGGCGGAAAAAACCTTTTTCGTTTACTATATTTTGCTCGCGAAACCCAATGCGAAGAGGATAATGCAAAGCCAGTGTTGGATGAGCTAGAGGTGATGCGATTGTGCTGCAGTTTCGGGATGATGCCGTCGATCAATCCTAAAGACTTCGACTTTAGCGTCTTACACGCCCGAGAATTTGATGCAGATTTCAGTCGCTTTTTATCACATGATCTGCTTGAAGATTCGTGTCTCAGAGAAGTGAAGCTAAAAGGTGCGTTTGGCATGAAAACCCAAATTTCGAATGCGCTACTTGACATGAAAGCATGCTCGGCTGAAACGCTCGTGAAACTTGCTGACGCATATGACGGAATTTACTGCGTGAAGCTTAATTTTGAAGACTCTTTAGACTATCATAAGCAGGAAAAAGACGTAAGTGGCTTGTTCGTATTTTGTTGGATTCGTGACGAGCTGTTTCAGTCTCAAAGGCTTCGAGATATTCCAACATTCGTACTACGGTTTTTGACTGGGATAACGTCAGACATAATTTGTTGCACCTCACCATCAGATCAAGATCAGATTGAGGCTGCTATGGCGACGTCGGATGAGTGTGAAGACGACGCGCTGTCGTCGTATTCGGTCTCGTTTCACATTGAGAAGCAAGAAGATCAGTCTGATAGTACATCATGTGCGACCATTTCTTCTATTGATTTAAAAGAGCCTCCCGAAGAGTGTATAAATTTATGTTTGCTAAAGGGGAGCTACCCAGCCATCTCGTTCTTGAAAATAGTGAAGTCGATGACGCATCGTCAGCAAATCAGCCGGACTTATCGCGGTAAGGAGCAATCAAAATTTGCTGAGTGGCTTAAAGCTGAGTCTCAGAAATTTCGGATTGAATTAAACCGAGGAATTATCCGGGCACCAAAAGTATGCGAAAGCATTCTGAGAGCATTTGATTCATGGCCTGAGGACGAGATTGAAAGATCACGAAAGTCTCAGGAAATCGAAAAACAAGAATACCTCGATACAGCATTTAAGGAACTTGAGAAGGAAATCGCTGATCAACGTGCGGCGGTTAAGCATGCAGAGGCTCTCATGTTCCGTTTCTTCGCCGATAATGCAGCAGGTGAATGCTCAAAGAGTGCGTCGCTGCAGATAGCTTATAGTGATTACAACGCATTTTTGAAGTGGACACTATCCACGCGCCACCGGTCGATGAACAAAATGCTTGAAGCCACCTTAAATCTACCTTTGAATCTCAGAGCAGTCAAGGCAACGCTTTATGCTCTTTTCTGTAGTGGCAAAAATAGCGAGTTGATCAGGATTGTGAATATGTGTGCTACATCATCACATTCGGATATTATGAAGACCATTTCCATGCAGAAAGCTGAAAAGAAAAACTCAATGATGGAGATCGACGACAATGAAAGCAAATGGGAACAATTCTCAAAGACAATATCTGCACCACTGGAGAAGTTACAAGCTAAATGGCTGATTGCTGTCGACAGTGTCTTCGCTGAGGCAAGAAGTACAAAGCTTGACGAATTAAAGAAAACAACAAGAAAATCTCAAAATGATCGTGAAAAGAGAATCATGGAATGCAGACTCGACCAGCTCATCGATAAATTGCGCTCTAAAGATGGATTGTCAATATCCGTGTCCGCGAGCAACACCGGTAAAGCCATAGTCTGCAAAGCAGTGAAAGAAGTGATCAGTCCGCCGTCTGTGTGCCAGGATATTGTAAAGCTGGCTTCGCAAGGAGACGGCTTGGTAAACATAGAAGGTCAGGAGCATTTGGGCCAGCATCGGGTGTCACCCGACGATAAACTCGTAGCAACGTTCACAGTTAAGGTGCGCTCCGCAATAATTGTATGCACAGGAAGGGGCCGAGTGTACGTTCGATTCATAGACTTTTTTCCGAGCACGAATTCTGAAAAGTCTTCACGCGTAAATGAAACCATCGTTGACACTTTTGGAAAAGTTCCATCACTCTGCGATTATGATGCTCGCACCAGACTGATTACCTTTGTCCATAACGATTGTGTATCAGTTTACAAGTTTAACGAAACATTCAAGAAGATGGAATTGATGAAAGTCGTTAATTTGAGCATGCGATCAACGTTGGTAGACCTACCATTTACAGATGTTTTGCTGCTGAATGACACGTTATATATCACCGATTCAAGCGGGCACTCACAAGGTATCGGTTTGCACAACGACCAGACATCAAATGTCATGAGCGTCCACGATGACATTGATAAGCAAGTAGAGTGCAGCAAGCTACTGGGCCTGGCTGACAATCTTGCTCTTGGAGTGATTTCGTACACACAAATTGATGATGGTTTGTTTACAGGAGTTCTCGAGTGCATTTCTCATGACAATCATCGCCGCCTTCCACTTTTACGTTTGGGAATTAATTTCCTCACTCACCACGTGAGCGTTCAAATTGTTGATGACGGGTTACTCGTGCTGGATCCAATTGCACGAAAACTGTACTTATTTACTATCCACGTGACGGTACGTAGTGATTCTTATCGGTTGCGGCGGTGTGATATGAGGGAGAATGATGGTTCTGGAAGAGGTGCCATATCTCCACGCAAGCAGCACTGGATCTATACTTTCTATCATGTTTTCGAAAAATTTCCCGTACATGGTCTGTTAGAAATTGGCAAGCCACCTGCCATATTAATTCTTGTCGCTTGTCCTGGCGTGGAGGATATAAATGCTGCCTTACAAATTTATCACGACTTTCTTTCGCTACTAATGAGCGATCTTATGGCTTTGAACAAACCGCTTTATGGATTAGACTTGACCAGTGGTTTTGGTGTGCAGCTTTCTCTAGAAGGCGTGAAAATGGGTTTGATACCTTTAAAATCCTTTTTTAAAAAAGTGATAACATTTCTGCCGGTTCAAATCTGTCGTGCGGAAGGAAATGCACTTACAATTCTTCATGATGGAACCGATTTGTTGTTTGAGGAAGAGGATACACTCGCTTGGGAGGCGGCGGATATCGCAGAGTCGATTCGCTTTGGATTATTGTCCCCTTTATTGTACGCTTGGCAAGGCCGTTGTGTGGTAATTACATCGATGGGAAAGCAGTCAACAGGCAAGAGTTATTTCTTAAACCACCTGACTGGATCATCATTTGCTATTGCTGGTAATCGCTGCACTCATGGCGCATGGATGACGCTTCGGATTATGCAAGATTTCCTTCTTGTCGTACTCGATTTTGAAGGCCTTGGCTCATTTGAACGCACAGATCAGGAGGACGTATTTTTGTCGGTGCTTAATGCATCTCTGTCAAATTTTACCATTTTTCGAATGGAAATGCGCTTCGATAAGGACATTGAATGTTTATTCACACGATTTCAAAAGGGAGTCAATTTACTAAAACATGTAGAAGGTTATTTCAAGGCTCGTTGTATATGAGTGTCAAGGATATCAATATAAATGATTGCGATGGTGTGCTCTCTGAGTTTAATCAGAAGTTTCAAAAAACATTGACTGCCAACCGCGAAAATTCCTTTCTATCTGAGATGTACTCAGGTAAACTGGAAATCAACTGCTCACCACCTCTTGGTTCGTTGGGGTACTATGAGTCGCTGCGTCGTGCTCGACAACTTGTTACAAAATTGGTCACTGAGTCAGATGCTTTCCATGGATATGAAAGTGGAAGCTCTTTTCACGATTGTATTCGTTTGGTCCTCGCTAAAATTTCTATATTAGATTGGACTGCTGTCGACGAGAGTTCTCAGCAATTGCAAATGAATGAGCTTTATCGTAAGATACCTGGAGCTATTCGTTCGGGGTGTCTTATCCCCGTAGAAGCTCAATTAAAAGAGGAAAATTTGCCAAAAGGTCTGAAAGATGTGTTGCTGCATAACAAAAGCGACTTGTGCTTGCTTGGCCTGGAGCAGCTCAGTTGCGACTATCCCGAGATATCAAAAAACTGGGCGATTGTCAATCAAATATTCTCGTTGGATGAAATAGACGACGAAAGCGTGGATTTTGGACCTGCAGTTTGCTTTCACGAAGACGTTAGGACTAGCTGCATCCACTCCTCGCTATCGGCTCTTTTTCAAAGATATTTGTCGCTGAGAGGTTCATTTGGGAAAATTACGGAAAAAGATTATATCAATTTTGACGCAATGTTGTCATTTCTGGTTTGCCGCCGCAAAATCAAGGCCATGCTGTGGGTAAAACAATTTTTAGGGTCGGAGCGATTCATGGACAAGTGGTTTCAAATCGAGCAAGCATTCATTCTTCCATTTGAAGCGTTAACCAAGCGATGCCAACACTGCTGTACGAAGTGCCATCTTCAGTGTATGCGATCAGCGTGTCATTTGTATAATGATGCCCACGACTGCGGCATGGATCATGTGTGCCGTAATTTATGCGAATATTGCTGCCGACTTGAAAAGGAGGATATGCCTCGATGCGTTGGAAAGGCTGGCCACCCAGGAATATGCGACTGTGTGAAGGGCGATCACACATGTGGGAAACAGTGTAGTCTGTTTGGTTCATTTAACTGTGGAGGATATTGTGCGCTGCTTGGCGGACATGTAGGAAACCATCGTTGCTCAGCGAAGCAGCACGCGTGTGGAAAGACATGCAGTGCGATAGAATGCCACGGACAGTGCATTTTGAACACAGAATGTCATCACACCGTGCACAAGTGTGCTGAAATACGGTGCAGACGAATGTGTGAGGTGCTTGGATGCAACGAGCGGTGCAGCACTACAAACCACTTTCATGGCCAATCGGATGTGGAAGTAAAGTTTGCTGATGAGACTGGCCAAACACGTGACACTGTGGAAAAATCTGAAAAAATTGTTCATTTGTGCGATATGCGCCACAGATGCAACGAAAACTGTCAAGCAAAAGGAATTTGTAATAAAAGCGTTCAAGTCTCCATGAAAAAGTTCTCGGGATCATGTGATAACTTTGATTTCGAGCTAAAGCAAATGGTTGGAGTTCGCAACAAGTGTGCCATTATTCTTCAACCTGGAGTCACAAATCACGATGGTATCGCTCACTCGTGTTCAAAGCTTCTGCCGGATGGATCGAGTAGTGTTCACGGATGCGATGTGAGATGTGAAGCGTGCGAGTACTATTGCGAAAAAAATATTGGACATGAAGGAGTGCATTCTGCCGCACATGGAAGTATGCGCAATATGCAATTTGTCGCTGAAGATGACATTATTCATTGGAGTACCCACACGTATGTGCCAGGTGAAAAGGGAATAGCCGAGATGTGCAACGTGTACTGTTCTACAGCCGGACGGGGTCATGTTCATTACGTGAAGTGTGATAAAATGAATGCTTTTGACTGTGTCTATACTGGTTTGCATGACCAACGTCGCCACTGTAAGACCAAGCTGAAACCTATTCTAATGCACGAAGTTGATGAACTTCTACATGAAACTTACTGGAAAACTATTGGGTGGGAAGATCCCTGTCGATCAGCGCTCGAACGTGAACACTTTGCAAAATGTCCAAACTTTTGTGATGCTGCTGAGCACAAAGGTGCTGACAAGTCACCGGTACATTGTGATTTAGAAGCGTGGCATGTCCTGCCACCGCACCTTTAGCTTCTAGTGAACGAGGGATTTCGTATATTCAGGGTCATCGCTTCGCTTGTTCTCACGTGTCGTCAACTGGTAAATTACACCATGTCCTCGTGCTCGATTGCTCTGGGTCAATGCGAGGGCGACCGTGGCAGAATTTGATAAGTGGTGTTCGCGAGTATCTGCAAAGTCGATTATCTGCTGGCGAAACAGAGGATATCGTATCAGCGGTGACGTTTGGAAATCGCGGCATTATTGAATTTGAAGGCTTTCCTATCGAACAAGCCCCAATTCAGCACATTGAATTTCATGGAGGTGGCACTTTCTACTCAAATGGATTAAGTGAAGCTAGCGCTGTTTTCTCCCGCTCCGACCTAAAGAATTACAAACCAGTGATGATATTTTTCACAGATGGGCGTCCAGCTGATCGTAAGAAAGGACCAGCATTAGCAGTAGACGTTCGAGATCGGTTTGCCAAGTTTGGTTTGCGGACATTTGTCGTGGGCTATGGACGAGCAAGTGACTTGGGGCTCTGTGATCTTGCGCAAAAGCTGGGCGGATCAGTGCATGAAGCACTCTCTAGCGCGGATTTGACGGGAGCTTTTCGTTCAATCTCGATATTGTTGGGAGCTCGCGCAGGTCTCGTTCACACTTTTGACGCAAAAGATGACAAAGCAAAGTAAAATGATAGGCATAATAAATTTATTTATTTTAATCATTTGTTTTCTTTTAAATCTGATATTAGTAATTGTCGATTCCTTACTACCCACACATCACCTTGAAAAAGATAACTCATGTAATTTCATATTGTCTTTTTTCTAGTCAGCATTTCCTATCATGTTGTGGGTAGACAAGTACCGCCCGACGTCGCTCTCGGAATTGGACTATCATCCAGAGGTGGCGAAGCGTTTGTCTAATCTATCGAGGTGTTCTGACTTGCCACATCTGCTCGTATATGGACCGTCAGGCGCCGGCAAAAAGACGCGCATCATGGCGCTGCTGCGTGCGCTTTACGGAGACGGTGCCTTGAAGGTTCGACTGGAGCACAAGTCATTTAAAGTGCCAAATCGCAGTACTAAAGTGGAGATTACGACGGTGGCTAGTAACTTCCATATTGAAATGAATCCGTCAGATGTGGGGAACAGTGATCGTCTTGTGGTGCAAGAAGTGCTAAAGGAGATCGCACAGTATCATTTAGCCGACACAAATGCTCAGAGGCCTTTCAAAATTGTATTGCTTATGGAGGTTGACAGACTTAGCAAAAATGCACAACATGCGTTACGTCGTACCATGGAAAAGTATACAGCCACCTGTCGTCTTATCTTATGCTGCACAAATCCTAGTAAAGTGATTGACCCGCTGCGCAGTCGTTGTCTCGGTGTGAGAGTTGGTGCTCCGACGACTGACGACATCTGCAACATTCTCCATAATGTCTGCACCAAAGAGGGTCTCGACTATTGCGCTCCACTAGGAAAGGAGATTGCGCTTAAGAGTGAACGGAACCTTAGACGTGCGCTACTTATGCTTGAGACTTGTCGAGTGCAAAAGTATGTAGTTACTGACTCGAGTGAAGATTGGGTGATACATCACTGACGTCTTGTTTTTATTTCTGCTGCTTTAGCTATCCATTTTCGCCAGATCAACAGATCCAACTTCCTGCGTGGGAAGAATATATTTGTAGTCTGGCCAAAGTGGTGCTGCAGGAGCAGTCGCCTGCTGGGTACGTCGTAAACTGTCTATAGTGCAGTGGACGTTTTTTAAAGATGATGCATTTCGTGTTGTTGTTCTAGCTTGTTAAAGGCACGCGAAATGATTTACGAGCTCATTTCGAATTGCGTGCCATCCGAAGTGATTCTCAAGGTACTGTGTCGCGAGCTCATGAGTCGTTTGGATGACGATCTCAAGCACGAACTTGTGCAGTGGGCATCGTACTATGAGCACCGCATGCAGCGTGGGTCGAAAGATATATTTCACTTCGAGGCCTTCTTGGCCAAATTTATGACGCTTTACAAGAAGTTCCTGCTGGATCTGTACATGTAACGAGCACTTAAGTTGAACAAAAACGGTCTTTTAGGTAGAAAGCAATTCAGACTTCCCCATTCGTTTGTTTATGCACAATTTGTTCAGTCACTCAGGTAAAGACCATGTGGCAGATGGCTATCTTGACTCGCTTTGAGGCGCTGCAGAATTTCTTGTCCACTGACGAGCACCACTATCTGAAGTCAGCGCTCTTTGAGCAGCACAAAGCATTTCAAGTCAATGCTGAGATTCAGTCAAAAGAGGATAGTATCGAGACAAACAATGGAGAATCGGCGCATCTTGAGCGGTATTTAAGGATTGCACAGTCGTGTAAACCATTTTGTGAAATCTTCAGCTCTGGTTGTTGACTAGGTGGACAAAGTGGAAGCTTGAGGATGACAAGATCCATCAACTCACGTCGACGATCGGCTCTGGAGCTGATGATATGCTTAAAGAGCTTAACGCAAGCGTGGCCAATCTACGCTTCTTTGCTCGGGGGAAGCGAGGTATTTTATACGCGGGCGAATTGCGGTCGACATTTGAGCCGGTGGTAGCTAAAGTGGCCACAGAGGTGACCTTGTCTGCATCAGTGACACTAGAAGCACGATGGCTTCGAGCGATGAACCGCATGGGAATTGGAGCAAAGCTGATAAATGCAGGGAATGGATGGTTTGTATGTGAGCGACTCCAGGGCAAGAATGTGGTAGAATTTTTAAAAGAGGGAGACGATATATCCACACCAGCGAATACTATGTGGGTTTTGCGAGAAATGCTGTGCCAGGTACGCATTGCTTACCCATTGATAGTGTTGTGCTTACATACGACGTCAGAGCTTTGCGATGGACTGTATGGGTGTTAGCAAGGAAGAGATGACACATCCTCACCGTCACATTATCATACATCGCTCGACAAAGGAACCAGAGCGATGGCAATGCACTTTTATTGATTTTGAAAGATGCTCGCACACAAAGAAGCCGAAAAACGTCACGCAACTCTGCCAGGTAGGATATGTGGTTCCTCCCAATATATGGTATTCTCTCCAGCTGATTTCTCTTTGTTCGCGTTTGAAGTTTTTAAGCTCGCCGCGCATGTTTGCTCTTTTGACAGATAAAGGCGTGAAGGTGAATAGGACCATGCTGCGGCAGAGCTCCAAGCGCTACAAGCAGAACATCTCCGCTAAAACATTTAGCGGCATTATGCAAGTCTTTGGACTGTAGTAAACAAGCTCAATACCGGTATAAACTTGTTATACTGATCAACATAATAATGAGTGCTCGCAACGCTCGATACTGGCGCACCTTTCTGAATAATCTACTGTGTCCTTCTAGCGTTTCTGCTTTAGTAACCTCGTACGACGGTGTGTGCGTATTTACGCACTCAGGTCGTATTGAATACCTCGACGGCTGCTTCCGTGCGTCGCCTTCCTCATCCCAGAACTTCCTGGACGTAAATCCATTACATTTTCTGGCCATATTTCATCAACTTACGTGTCTGGCGATTCAAGAGGAGAGAGCAACTCACGACGATCAGGGTGTAGCTTTTTTCAGAAGTTTAACACCCGCTATAAGACTAAGTGACTGCGTATTTCACATCGTGGCTGCCACCTTTACCAGCATCTGTGCCGTGACAAGTGGCAAGACCCGTAGCCTTGTAGCAGAAAAGCTTTCATTTGGCATCTTGGTAGTGGCATTTTCGACGCCACTGCGGCTCGAGACGGAATTTGATCGTATTGATCGTGCATGTGCAATTTTGAGACGTTAAAGCATTTCTAGCCAATCAATACGACACGGATTATGTATTTCTGCGCCGCTTGCAAAGTGTACGTTAAGGATGCGAACGTCACGGAGCATGACCAATCGACAGCTCATCTGCTCTCAAGCTGCAAAGGGATCTCTGTGCGAAAAGGTACGTGATCCATAAATTAGAAAATATAGAATTGAGGCTTGATCTTTTTTGCTCTTTCGTTAAGTCTGGCTGCCTGAAACGAATCGTGGCTATCAAATGCTCAAGTCTATGGGATGGCAGGAACCACGCGGACTGGGATCTGGAGGTGACGGCCGAATCACGCCTATCAAGACGACGGCTAAGAACGATAGAGCGGGTATTGGAGCACACTCCAATAAGAAAGAAGCAAGAGCAGCACATGTTACACCGCAAAATGAGAATTTAATGGCAGTAAATGGATGTAGTGATGAGAAATGCGTACAATACAGACTTGCTCGAAAACGGAAGCATCCCCTTATTATGACAAAGGCGCAGAAAAAGTTGCAAAAGCATAGGGAGCAACTTCGAGAAAAAGCTATCAAACACGAGCTCTACATGGAAGGATTTGATAGTTATGAGGAGTTTCTGAGATAAGCTGACGCCTTGTGCGTATGCAGTGTTTGGTTTTAAATTTGTGCTTTCGGCGTTTACAAAAGCTATCACTTATATATATATCAGTCACAATTTTGACAATGGTGTCAAATCCACCGCTTTCGTAGGTTGTACCGCGCCTTCTATGGATTTCAATACAATCCGCCTCAGCAGATCTATCACATTCATTCGGCAATCTACGTTGTCTCCCATCACCGCAAACACCATATCTTCGTGTGTACAGTCGCTCACCTCGTAGTACGTCGCTTCTTGACCTTTTTGTTTCTATAAAGACCATACATTGCAGCAATAAGGCTTCAAGCGAGCGTTTTGATGCATCAAAACTTTTCATACCAAAATATGTACAAACTTCTTCGACGAACTCGTTGGGACAACCTATTTTGATATATCATATAAAGAAATCACAACAGTCACCCGTGTACATCGTTGTGGCGACGGTAACATACCGTGTCATCCTCTCCATGTAGAATGTGAAATGGTGGGAGTGAAGTTCCTACGTAACAAGGTTCAACATTTATATCTTCTCTTGCCCAGGTGGTTTGTTCAATTGATTACTAGCGTACCCATGCTTCTTGACTTTTCGACGAGTGCTGTTGGGCTAAATTTTTCAAAATTGTTCATGCCCAGCATAGCAGGTTTCATGGACGAAATCTCGTGCACACCTGTGACGTTTGTATCCTTTTAGTACAGTAGCATGGTCGAGTGGCGAGTTGATACACACATATATACCATTGAAGGGTCCCATGATGCGTTTACTTTCGAAAACATAATGGTCTGAGATGTCGTAGGGCGTTGATAACCCTATAAACCCACGCACACATTTCGCGATTTCTCTTTCATTTGAAGGCTGATACCGAAAAAGTTAACTCGATCAGGAAAACATCTTTAAAAGAAATCGTGTCTATATGAATACCATTGAGTCATTGGTGGTAAGGCGGACAGCTGAATTGACAAGTGCTAAAGCTCCCACGTGGCCACCAGAAGAGTGCCCCATCAGAAAAAGCCTGGTGCTATCTCCGCCCAGCGAGCGACAATATTCAGCAACCCAAAAGATCTATCAATTTCGCCATTGCATTAATTTTGGAATTGTCGACTAGCGGCTTAATAGACAACTCCTGTTTACTCACAGCATTTTCAACATCCTCTATCATGTCCACAATCGAACCATTTGGAAATGTTCTATAGTCGATGACAGCCACGAGAACACCCTGCGTGGCTAAATATTCACCAACCAGCGCATACTGCCACTTATGTCCAAAGGACCATGCTCCTCCATGCACGAAGACCAAGACAGGATTAGCTTTTGCAGTCTGCACTCCGTAAAAGTCGAGCATGTTGCGTTTATGAGGTCCGAACCGGCAATTGACGCGACAATCATGAGGTATACACACAAGCAAGCGACCAATTCTCGCTGCCAGTCGAGGCTTTACAAGACACAACAGGTACTCTGATCCAGCAATGAGTTGTCCGACTGTAAAGTACCTGAGTGTTGCCTTTAAATACTCGGGCCACGATAGATGAGGCTCAGTTTGCTGCAGCAAAAGTCGTAACTGACTTAGGTTGCGTCCAGTGTTGCGGGCATACACAAGAAGCGCGAGGGCAAAGGTCACATGCTGCAGCCTAAGCTTGGACATGTTTACTATTAGATTTAAGAATACAAAATTAAAGAGTGGGGATCAGAAGACCGACACGATTTTTTTTCTTTAAAATGCGGCTACGGAGTTGTCAATTGCGCCATGTCTTCACTTCTCTATAATCTGCATACTTAAAAAGATACGTACTCAAGCTCGCGGCAGTTGTCAAACTGCGAGATATTACTCGAAATGAATTTGGCCAGCGGATCAATTCCCGAAAAATTCTTCCATTGCTGGAACGTTCGCTTGGTACCGAGGGAAAAGTTTTTCAGGTCCGTACGATCAAAATCTTCTTTGGTCACAGGAAGTCCAAGAATATAGCGAATGCGTCGTCTGGATGCTTGTTGTTTTATATAGCGCTTGTTCCAGTCGCTCTCCCAAACCACATTTCGCGTCTCGTACCAATGGTACGCGATGTCATCTGACGGCACGTAAAAGTCGTAACCAGCAGTCCAGAGCCGTGCGGCACGTGAATATTCTTCGCCATGAAAAAGGTAAGGCGTGTATGGGTCATTTCGAACCTCCTTCGTTTGTTTGCATCCTCCAAAATTAAATCCTCCGGCAAGTTGCGACATCAGCCGTGGTTTTGGCGTCTTCTTCTTATCGATCCATACAGGGGCGGCGTACTGCACCATAGCGTCTCTGTCATTCGACTCGATGCGAGACTGGCACATAAGCTGCACTTGATTATCCACATCTCTATTCTTCAAATGCTCAATGGCCTTTGGATACACAGAAATGATAGCATTAGGATTTTTTATTGAGTCCCACTGCGCCATAATGTTCTCGTCCCAATCAGGAACGAAGACTAAGTGGGAGTCAATTGCCATGCAGAAGTCTTCATCCGAAATCTCTTTCTCGGTCTCGTACCGTGCAGCAGTAGGGCCCTAAAGAGCGAAGATTGAGCCTGTATGTCAATAACAGCACCAAACAGCCTATTTACCCTAGTCTGTCTACCTTCGCATAAGATGCATCAATCTGAGATGAGACAATTTGTGAGCGGCGGCAATAATCTTCGCCTACGAGTTTACAAAAGGCTTCCACGCATTGACTCTCATTCTTTGACGGGTATATCTGATCATATATACTTAATTTCAAGTTATCGGGTGCCTTCGCGTTATCAAAAATTGAGCGTAGTGTCTCCGAACATCTATGACGTTGACAATAGTAAAAATACCAAACAGCACATTGCAAAACGTGAGCTATCGCTAGATAATCAGCTGGTGGAATCTCTTTTAGTTACGAACCTGGTTGAATCGCGGTAGTTGGCAACCAAAATGATGGTGTGACGTCCATTGATGATGGAAGGCGGATTTGTAGACTCTGGTAAGGCTGCGGCAGCGTTGTTTACTGTACGAATGTGAAGATCACGGTCTTCTTTGGCACCACCAACTGCGTATTCCTGTAGGTAGAGGAACTCGTAAAGCACCACAACGAGGCAAAAGAAAGGAATGGCCATGATAATGACTACACGTAAATTCAAGCCAGTACTACGGTGTAAAGCCCCGCGGGAGCTCACACGCCCGTACGGCAGATAGCCTGCCTTCATCCAGGCTACTTCGTCGTTTAGTCACAATAACTGTCACTATTTAGCCAGGCGTATTTTTTTACAATAAGACTAAAAAATGTCGCACAGATGGGCTGAACCGTTAGTGCCTCTGTTGAGATGGTATTGCATTATCAAAAACTGCGTTTGTAAAAATGAGGTATTTTATTTTTCTTGGAGAAGCGCTACTTTCTTATGAATCACTCGCATCTCGTCGCGCAAATATCGAAAAACGTTGCCTACATACACTGTATAGATGTAAAATCATGCCTATATGACAGCACAAAGACATTAAAGCTAATTGATATGTAATTTAAGAATTTTAATATTCGGTTTCCGACTTTGCTACTATAAAATTTCTGAAACCTCGAGTTTCGATGCTTTTTCTAAGTTGTTTGATGTTCCTAAATATCATCATCAAATTATGAGCGCATTATGCTTGCAAAATGCTATACGATAAGAGGCCTATGTCGATATCGTAGGCTTTATTCAATAACACTGTATTAGCCGTTTGGAATCAGAATGATCATGCCAGCAACGTTTCATAACTGTCAAAGCATAATTCGGTTTGTATGTAAAACCAAAGGTGAATGGAATTAAGAAAAATTCTGCAACGTAATAAATTTTCAAACTATCTCCGGTGACCGTGCTCAGCTTATCAAGATATTTGCGTCTTGTGTCTCCATGTTTTGGTATTATTACGCAATTTCGTACAATACTTTTACTCAAATTATATCATCGTACCATATTTAAAAAC